TAATGTACAACTTCAACTATAACTACCTCATAGGTTGAAACACAGTCTATTATGGCAGAAAGAACAGGGACTTTGCATTTAGGAGACAAAACTGGAATAAGAAATGGAGATTTTGGACATTTAGAACTTAATCAAGGTGTATAAATTCTTTGTGCTTTAGTTTATGTCTCTGTAAACTGTATTATAGTGTCTAGTTTACTGTACTGTTATGAAGATGGAATGAGTTAATGAAACACAATTAGAGTCTGACATACTGTTCAATAAACTATGTACCTATAATTATTCCTATTGTTATTGTCCATAAACTATTTTAAATGTTCACTTGGTAATGGTGCTATGAGAATAAAAGAAAGCCTATAAAACAAAACATAGAAGAGTATATTCTTGCATGCATAGTAAAACCTTAGTAAAATAAACTATTTTTATGGTAGTGGTACGATTCAGTAGTGGCACAGTAAAGAGCATCACAGGCTGGACCATCTGATTTTCTCCTGCAGAAAACTGGACCCTTCTTGCTTTGCTCCCTAGCAGCAATATTCCTTGTATTGTTGCTGCTAAAGCTTGTTATCTCAGGGCATTCTACAAATAAAAAATTGTTAATACATCCATTCATTTTGTTTTTTACTTGTTTATAAGTCCTTTCATCTATTTATTCATCCATTCATTCTTTCAACAAATATTCATTGATCTAGTAATTTATGCTAAGTACTGTGAGAAGCTCAAAATGCCAGAAGAAACAAAAAGTAAATGCCTGTGCCTTTGTGAATTTTATATTTCACAATAATGTACTGTCTTTATCTCTATCTGATATTGAAAAGGAGTAGAATGGAAAATCACTGGGAAAGCTACTTTTGATAAGATGGTCAGAATAAGCCTTTCTTAGACAGTGATATAAAAAAGGAGACCTGGGCTGGCCCGGTGGTGCACTGGAGAGTGTGCCGCTTGGGAGTGTGGTGGCGCTCCCGCTGAGGGTTCGGATCCCATGTGGAGACCGGTTCCCGCTCACTGGCTGAGCGTGGTGCGGGCGCAACATCGAGGGTTGCAATCCCGTTGCCGGTTCCCGGTACGGGCGCGACACCGAGGGTTGTGATCCCGTTACCGGTCAGTAACAAAGACAAAAAAAAAAAAAAAAAAAAAAAGGAGACCTGAATAATGTGAATGAGATCACTAAGACATAGTCCCAACCAATGGTCTGGTGGAGAGGGCAGGTGTGTGTAACTATATATTATTATACTGTGACAGTATGTTAAATGGGAAGTTTTGACTGAGGTGCCAAGACATGATCAAGCTGAGATATTAAATAAGTTGTGAGATGGATCAAAATGAAATTTTTGAGGGAAATAGATATTAACAATTTCATAAGCCCTTAAAACTTCTCACACGTTTCAAGTTTGTGGAAAATTTTTAAAAATGTTATCAGGATGATTTTAGAAAGAGGAATTTCAGAGAATATGATAGAGATTCTACTTAAGAACTTTGGAGAAAGTACCACAAACTCAGCTTTGGAGGATAAGTAAATTATTTTTTCCTTTGGTGGGAAGGCAAGGGCAGATGGAGGAAGGAGAGAAACAGCATTTTAAGATGTAAAAAGTCAGGCACAGAAAGGCAAATACTATGGTTACCAGAGGCTGGAAAGGGTAATGGGAGAGACGCAGAGGGAGAGGTTGGTTAAATAAAGGATACAAAATTACAGTTAGATAGAAGGAATAAATTCTAATGTTCCATAGCACACAGTAGGGTGACTACAGTTAATAATTTACTGTATATTGAAAAACATCTAAAAGAGAAATTTTGAGTGTCTTCAACACAAAGAAATCATAAATGAGGTGATGGATATATCCTGATTTGATCATAAAACACTATATACATGTATCAAACTATCACATGTACTCAGTAAATATGTACAATTATTATGGGTCAATTAAAAATAAAAACATAACAAGTTATATGAAGCCAGTCATAAATAAAAATTGACTATTTTTAACAGTACTGTAATCAGGTATGAGTTTTAGAGCATCAGACACTAAGGATTGAAATGAGGGTTGGAAGTAGATTGTGAAGAGAATAGAGATCTTGATGAAACTTTATCTATAAATTGTGGAAAGCCATTAACAGTTAGTCATGGTAGTAACAGGAAATTCAAGATGTTTGTAGCACATTCTTTGGGGATGGTACCATTAACTTAAAAGTACAAAAGAGCTTTAATATTCTCTGTAAACTAAACATGCTGGAACTTTCTGACCTAACTTTCTGTTTTCAGTCATATTGACCTATGACTGGCTTTAGAGATTTGAAGCAGGCACTGCAGGCTTCTTCATGGAACTTGAGGAATAAATTCTGTAGTCTATTAATGCAGTAGACTTCAATAAAGATGCTAAAACAGCCTTTGTGGGAGTCCTTAATTATTGCTCCTTGCCTTTTGCTTAAGGTCCAAGAGTCATCTTTAAAGTTCTCATTTAAAATAAAATAATATTAAGTAAGCTATCCATGACCAAGTCAAAACTTAGTTCAACAAAACTGAATCACCAGTAATACTTTAGCTCCTTCTTTACTTAATAATGATCACAGGAAAAAAAAAAAAAAAAAAAAACATGAAAGAACTAATTGATCAGTTGAGCTCTTCTCTGAGTGACTTATTTGTGTCACAAGGGACCATATGCTGTGGATTGAATGCTGCCCCCACACTCATTGAAGCTTAACACCCATTGTAACAGTACTAAAAGGATGGAAAATCCAATTACAGTAATTGAAAGGTGGGGCCTTTAAGAGGTGATTAGATTGTGAGGACTGTGCCCTAGTGAATGAATTGATCCATTCATGGAGTAAGGGGCATAGTTCTGATGGCTTCATAAGGACAGCAAGTGAGAAAGTTAGCTTTCTCTTGCTCAAGCTGTTTGCCATGTGACACCCAGCATGTCTGTAGAGGGTTACCACCAAGAAAAAGGCCCTCACCAGATGTGTTTCCTGGGCCTTGGACTTCCCAGTCTCCAAGCTGTAAGGAATAAATTTCATTTCTTTATAAATTAGCCAGTTTCAGGTATTTGTGTTTGGAATACAATACACCAACCACCTCTTCCAACAGGAGCTATGTTTGTTTGTTTGTTTCTTTGTTTTCCCATGGATAAAAATAATGTGAAAAAGAAAACTATCAGTTAAATTCACCCGTAATTGCTCTAACTTAAAGGAATTATTTATATCTTTGAATATTATATATTTTACTTATTACAGGAATTCAGATATTTTACAGGTAAAATCAATGTACATATGCATAAATTTTGCTCTATATTGAGCATTTAGCCTGTATCCCAATTCTTATAGAAAATGCTAAACAAGTATTATTTAGCACCTATATGAGAGTACTTCAGAAAGTTCATGGAAAGATTTGTATTATCTTTCTTTCTTTTTTTTTTTCCTTTTTGTCTTTTTTACTGACCAGTAACGGGATCGCAACCCTCAGTGTCGCGCCCGTACCGGGGACCAGCAACGGGATTGCAACCCTCGGTTTTGCGCCCGCACCGTGCTCAGCCAGTGAGCGGGAACCGGTCTCCACATGGGATCCGAACCCTCGGCGGGAGCACTGCCACACTCCCAAGCGGCGCACTCTCCAGTGCGCCACCGGGCCGGCCCTGTATTATCTTTCAATTCTATTTTTCCATGAACTTTTTGAATTACCCTCATACATGCCAGACACTGTTGTAGTTGATGAAATCATGAGTATCCTGCCTTCCTGGAGCTTAAATTCTAATGATGGAGTTTGGATGGGTTGTCCCCTTCAAAATTCATGTAGAAATTTGATCTCCAACGTGGCAGTGTTGGAAACTGATTGCGTCATGGGGGCAGATCCCTCACGAATGGATTAATGCCCTCCCTGGGGGAGGGGCATAGTGAGTGAGTTCTGACTCTTTTAGTTCCCACGAGAGCTTGTTGTTTATAGGACCCTGGCACCTTCTCTCTCTTGCTTCCTCTCACCATGTGATCTGCTTGTACCTGCAGGCTGCCTGCTACTTTTCCACCATAAGTAGAAACAGCCTGAGACCCATGCCAGATGCAACTGTCCCAGAATCGTAAGCCAAATAAACCTCGATACAGCTGTCCTAGAATCGTGAGCCAAATAAACCTCTGTCTTTATAAACTATCCAGTCTCAGGTATTTCTGTTATAGCAACACAATAGGGACTAAAACAGAAAATTGGTACCAAGGAGTGGGGTGTTGCTAGACAGATACCTGAAAATGT